CAGCCAATAAATAGTCTTCCCGTTCAACTTTGAACCTATTTTGATCCTTTTTCCAGTCACATCCACAAGTTGAAACTAATTTTAACTGTAGAAAAATGATCGTTATATCACAATATCCTCACTGTCCAATACCCAATTTCTAATTTACTTCTCGCTCAAGATCAAAGGGACAAGAAGCCTAAATAGTTATGCTTGCTCGCAAATAGCACTGTCAGCCTTTTTATTATGTACCCTGTCACCCCCCTGTACAGCTGAGTATCGTGTAGCAGAAGTCTCAACACTGGAATGTATCTTTTTTTGATGTGTTGGCCTCTTTTTAACTGATAACTAGGAATAGCAGCTGAGTGCACGATTTCATTATAAACCCAAGCTAGACGCGTTGTTTCTTACTTACCAGGAGATGAACTATACAAATTGGTCACCGATATTTCATAAAGTGTACTTTTGCCTCGTTTTTCTTATGATCTGTTGTATATACAATTGATGTGTACTTTTACGTTTGATTCTGTCTATTAACAATGCTATCCGTGACGCTCCGAAAAAGATCGATATAGTACTTCCTTATCACATCATGCGCAGTATCAAAGATCCTTGCAGCTGCCGTTTAGCAAATATGCTTTTATGAATATTTTATTTTTTTGCTTTCGAAGTGCATCCATTGTATGATTCGCATTCCCTGGACTTAAATGCTATAGTTCTTTTCTAGAGCATGTCCCTCATACCTCTAACTGTGTATGACAACCTACGTCGGGTATGCTGCTCAATGTTCGCCAGCAGTTCGCAAGCAGATCATTCCGGTAGGATATTCTATTTCAATTCATCGTGCTCTGAGCTAGAAATCCGTTTAGAAATTGCGGAACGAATGATCGCCTATGCGTCACTGGCCGATGTACTGCGATGGCGCGGTGTATCGCGACGTTTTCGTGCAGCAGCTATGCGTCGTCTTGCGCGATACACGACGATTCATGTTCGAGTCTATGACGGCTTATCTACTTTATATGAAAAGGCATCTTCAATTGCAAACATTGGTGAGTTAAAGTGATTTATAGGTCTTACTGTCATTCTCTAAAAATTCATTGTTAGATGACTTGAGTTGGCATCCAGCTGGTTGCTTGCTGCTGAGCGAAATGGGACCACATGAACTTGGAATCGCACTAGATTCACGACCAAAATGGAAGGATGTGAAAATACTGGTGGCTCTGCTCAATGTGTTCCGAGAAAATGCGATTCAAATTCAGATGGACAGTCCAATAGTAGAGCTTCTTGTGAAGGAGGTGAGGAAAAAGTAAACAAGTACACGGCCTATTTCTTTCCAAATACCAAACCTCGCAGCTTCTGTTCTACGGTTCTTGAAAAAAATCTCTCAAGATCGACATGTTCTAGTTTATTATCCAAAAAATATACGTTTTGGGAAGTCTCTGAATCAAATTTATAGAAGAGAA